CCCGCCCCCCCCCCAAAAAAAAAAACAAAAAAAAAACGCCGGGGGCCCAGGCCACCGACTGGCAGGTCTCATCCATGCGGAGCGTCAAAGCCAGTTGCAGGGTCTCCTCGGGGCGCCGGGGCTCGGGGTTAGGGTTTATGGGGTCTGTAGGGTTTAGGGTTTATAGGGCTTAGGGTTTATAGGGTTTAGGGTTTAGGGTTCAGGGTTTATAGGGTTTAGGGTTTATAGGGTTTAGGGTTTAGGGTAAGGAGGCCTCAAAGGAACCACTTTAGGGAGCAGGGCTCCTTGAGGGCTCCTTGAAGGTACAAGGATTACTATTGGGCTGAGGGCTGAGGGCGTAAGGCTTCGGGCCCTTGCAGCCGTAGGAACTGCCAATTCAATACGGCTTGAGGCTCCATTGCGAGACAGGGATTGATGGCGCATGTAAGGACCCTAAACCCTAAACCCCTAAACCCAAAACCCCAAACTCTAAACCCTAGGCCCTTTTTTTAAAAATCGAAAGCATGATGACCCAAAGTGCGACGACCCAAAAAGCTGAAGTCCTATATAGAGGACTCAATAATTAGAACAGGGTGCCGAAGATTTTCAGCTACGATTAGATTCAGGAGCCCCAAAATAGTATTGGCAATTTGTCTAGGCACCTCTAGTAAACATGAAACCCTTGAACCTTAAAGCACTAAGACCCAAAAGCCTGAAACCCCAGAACACAACACCCGACTGTAGAGCCGTAAAACTGTAAAACGGCTGCGTAAAACCTTAACGGTTTAGGGTTTAGGGATTATGGTTTACGGGTTTAGGGTTTAAGGGTTTAGGGTTTAGGGCTCTGAAGCCCTGTAGAGCCTGAAACCCTACAACTCGCATGAGAATACCCGCCGTCGATCCGGCTGGGGTTCCTCATGGAAACCTCTAAACCCTAAACCCTAAACCTGTATTCCCTAACCCTCTAAGCCCTAAACCTCGAAACCCTAAACCCCTAAACCCCTAAACCCAAAACCTGCATACAACCCTTCCATACCCCCAAAAAATTCGGAAACCCCTGATTCCCCGGGGTGCTCCTGAGGCGAGAGGTGGATGACTTTGGGGTGGACGGTCCAGAGCGACCTGGCTCAATGCGACTTCGTGGCATCAAACGATTTGGGGCTTTGGGGGGCTGAGGGTTTAGGGTCTGGGGGTTTAGGGTTTCGGGTCTAAGCTTTAGACTTTGGAGTTTTGGGGGTGTTGGGGCTCAGTGGGGCTGGCTGAAGGCTACCTAAACCCCAAACACTTAGCCCCCCCTTCGGAGCTCCGGTTCGGGTCTTGGTGTGTTGCCGGTGTACTTGGGGGTTCATGGGTAGATAAAAGTCAGGAGACAAGTCCCCTAGATATAAACTATAAATCCTGTTGTCACGTACAACCCCAGCTTATCACTATAGCTACCATACTTGTAACCCCAGATCATAACTATAGTTATCATACTTATTACCCCACTTATAACCACCCCATGAACCTCCCAAGTGGGGGGGCTCGGAAAATGTTCAGACTTTCTAGCTGGGCTTGCTGTAAATTAAGTATTTTGTTCAGCGTGGCAACGATTTGTTTTAGGCGTGTGGTAGCAGATACTTAGGAATTATGAGGGTTTAGGGCACAGGGCCAACACAGACAAGGTATGCTTGAAAGCGGAGCTGCAACACAACACACAAATAATACCGCCGTGGTTCCAATGCTACGGGAGCTAAAACCCGACTCTCAGTTGTGAGAAGACGACAGCGGGTCCCAGTTTCTTGCAGGGTCGAACGGAGCACGAGAGTTCTGATACCAAGCAGGCAAGACCTTGGTCTCTGGATCCTGACCACGAAACCCTAAGCCCCCTTATAGGGTTGAGGGTTTAGGGTATATAAACCCTAAACCCTAAACCCTTATAGGGCTTAGGGTTTAGGGTATATAAACCCTAAACCCTAAACCCTTATAGGGCTTAGGGTTTGGAGTTTAGGGTCCCCTACACTCTGCTACCGGCCTACTTTTGGGTTGCCTAAACCTGACATCGTCAGCCCACGAGCCTCACCTCTGATGTTGTCAGAGGATGTACACCGTTTAGGGTTTAGGGTTTAGGGTTTAGGGTTTAGGGTTACTTGTCAAGCTGTATCGATTACCCTAAACCCTAAACCCTAAACCCTAAAGCTGCGAACACACTGTATCGATTGCGCCCGAGAGAGCAGGTGATTTTTTGGAGTTTCTGGCCGAAGAAGGCGTTTGATACGATTCTTGAACTGCAACAAAGCTTACCAACTGCCATTGGACCCGGGTTCAGGTGGTCTACGAAGTTCATCACTTGCTGGATGGATGGAAAGTCCGCCGGAATGGGCGCCTTGTTCTGCAGCGTGGCCCACATCCGGAACTGATAAGATTCGCGACTGAGCCGCGTTCAGCTTCTGTCCGTCACGAGCGAGAATGCCGTAAACCCCTGATTACTATACCCGGCTGCCTGCATAAGGATAGAATACACTAGGCGTGCTGAAACACACAGGTGGGATATCTTACTTAGGATCTACATCAATCTCAGAGCAAAGCAACGAATACAGGGAGCATTGCTGCAAGTGCCAACAGTCCTTGGCGCGAAAACTCCGGCTGCCTGCAGCCCTCTTCCACTAGCCCCAAACTCCTGAGGCCCTAATCACTATCACATAGATACCTGGTGTACCTCCGATGCACCCTAAACCCTAAGCCCCCTGAACAAAACATGCCAGAGGGACTTCCTCTCGTTCATGAAGGCCCTCACCGAAGCGTCGATGCACGAGAAGTTCGTCAAGCGGACGTGCCTTCGAAGCTACTGCGGATAGTTTTGGGTTTACGGCTTAGGGATGTGTGGCTCAGCAACATCCTCCACAATCAGGCATGTGGAGTGCATCGTAATTTCTCGTCAACCCGGACTCGACACTCCGAACCACAAGCCCTGAATTCTAAACTTTAACCGTAAGCTGGAACTCTCAAACCCCAGACCCTAAATCCAAGCGGTAAGTGTAGGACTTCGTGAATCACCAGCCAGTGTATATGTTGGAGCTCTTGGCTTTTGGACCGAAATCTCAGAAAATGTGCCATTTGATTGGGCTTACATGTGTTTAAGGTTTACTGTAGGTTTCAGGGTTTTGGCCTCCCATATTACCAGGAATCCCAGAGTGGTCATACGAGCTCCTTCCCAAAGGAGAATGGACAAATACAAACGACACAGTTTAGGGTTTAGGGTTCTTCCCCGATCGTGCTGCACTGCTGTTGGGAAGCTTGTGGTGAACCTGCTACACCCTGCACAAACAACGCGCACGCTGCGCTGTGAAGTCAGACCTCCCTCCTAGGAGCCCCAAACAGCGCCTAAACATCGACTTTGTACGGTAATAGTTGCGCTCGCTAGTTTGTTTTCAGGTCCGGTTTGTTGGGCACTGCTTTTTGCCGGCCTATCATGAAGTTCGGCCCCCAATCATGGCAGTCCCAGCACACCAACCGAAATTTCTTGCTCACGGCTGCAAAGAAATTCAAATCCACAAACCGGCGCTCCGGCGCCTTAGGTAGGAGCCTACAGTAAATAGAACAAAAGAGCATATGATGATACAGCTATGATAGGGCTTACCACTGCTTCTTCAGACCTCTTCTTGTTTGAACCCGAGTTTCAATCCCAAGCCCGAACTCCCGTAAGCACCCTAAACCCTGAAGCCTAAACCCTAAACCCCAAAGCCTAAGCCCTAAAACCCTAAATCCCAAACCGCAAACACCAAAACCGCTGCGGGGCGACCTGGTGATGGGCTCCAGGCACTTCACGTTTCCAAAATCCAGATTCGGCCTGAGAATCTTGGGGTTCGTTTTAAAAGCTATGATATGAGTCATAAGGACCCCTAGGGCCCTAGGCGGGGTATGGGGAGCGGGGTAGGGAGCCTTAATACCTGCAATAAGGCCTACCCCCGTCCCTCTTACCCTTCTAAAAATTCCCTATGAATAAGGGTTCTTGTAAGGGTTACATTCAGGTTGGGGGTTGGTGGCTTTTGGGAGTTTTGGTGTTCTGAGATTTTGGGATTCTCGGGTGGTGCGGGTGGTTTGTAGCCACGGGGCGCTGGGGTCTTGGATTTGTGTTGGGTTTTGGTGCTTTGGGGTGTTGGGGTGTTTGATGTGTTGGGGTTTGGCGGCTTTTGGGCTGTTGGTGCTTTGGACGGTTTATGCTTTAGGGTGGCGAATGCTCCGGCAAGGGTTCGGGCGCATTGATCATGCACGGCACACTCATCGAGTCCATCTTGGCATGCTGAGCAGGTTTGTAGACCTCGAATGCCCGTCACATCCTCCTCAAACTGCCTCCAGTATGTCTCACATACCCACTCATGTTGCTAAGTCCTCGTGCATCTGCAGAACTTTCGTCTCGATCCTCTCAGACAGCCCCCGCAGACTTCACACTGAACCCTAAACTCTAAACGAGTGATCATCAAAGATCACGAAAGATGGAAATGAGGGCTGCGGATCTTGCAGGACGGGTTAAGGGTTTGAGGTGTTTAGGGGTTCTGGAGTTCCGTTGTTTCAGGGTTTTGTTCAGGGGTTCTGGGGTTCCGGCAGTCGAGACCCAAGCCGGATTGCAGAAGCTCCTGTGTCCCTTTAGTAAGGGTCGTGTAGCAGTCTCAAGGAAACACGAGGGGACTACGACGCCTTATATAGAAGCTTGACACATACGATTCATGCAGGGGCCTGAATGACTAGAATTGGGTTTGGGGTATGTTCTACTGTAGTTATAACATGGAACCCCCAAAATAATATAAGTAATTACTAAGGCCCCTATATCATATCATTGCACAGGAATTGAAATGACCTCAAAGATGATGGTTTCAGAAAATCAAGGACCCCATAGACCCCAGCTGGTAGGACCCCCATTCTAAGGAGACCTAAATACGAGACTCCTACTTTTGAGAAATGTAAATACAATCTAATATTAAAAGAATCCACTGACCAACTAAACCCTGCCGTCGGCGTATATTATAGCACAACTAGATACTAGATAGGGGGCATGCTTGTTAACTACTGACTATTCAGACATCCTAAACCCTGAACCCTAAACCCCCACAACACCAACTCGAAGACAGTCGAGGGCCCAACGGGTCCACCACCACCCGCGGCCCCACCGAGTTTCCAACGAGCTGCGCAGGGGCTTTTGTTCCGAAAGCTCGGGGCTTCGGGTTGGTGTGTGAGTGTGTCTGGCTGCTGGGGGGGGCGGGGGGGAAGGGGGAATCACCGCGTAAGTATGGCAACTACATCTGGAATTGCTGACAAAGTGACGGGTACTTAGCACCTTACTTGCAAGCACCCTTCAAACGCCAAGTCAGCCCTAACCCTAAACCCTTAAACCTAAAACCTTAGCCCTAAACCCCAAACCGTTAAGCCCTAAACCCTAGGCCAAAAGCCCCGAGCCCTAGTTCCTAGCCCTTTAAGCCGATCCCAAAGTCGAAGGTCAGGAGCTTTGCGGCCGGTCTAGGGTTTAGGGTTTAGGGTCTAGAGTTTAGGGTTTATAGCTTTGCGGCTTATGGGTTTTGGGTTTTAGGGCTTCTGGTTTACGGGTTGGCAGAGCAATGTTAATCATTCATTCGGAACCTGTCTGAGACCTTGACCGTATATCCTCCATAGTAACTCTGCGTCGGAATAATTAGTAACTGCATCACCCGATTGTCCGCAAATAGTTTTACTATAAAGATTCTCCGAATACCCTAAACCCTAAGCCCTAAACCCTCAACCCTGAATCCTATCCCTATGAGCTCAACCCTTTCACGGCCCCTTTTTGACTCTTGGCTGAGCGTCTGCCGCCCAGGTTTGGAGCTAAACAATCCGTCGAAGGCGCGCTGACGGTTTCTAAGGCATGTGCACCCTTACGGGTTCTATGACGGTTCCTTTTGGGTTCTATGGGCGGTGTTTTTGGCTGAGGGCTGCATTGGTTTTTGGCTATACTATGCCCTTTCCGGAATCCTCCCGAACCCTATGCTAAGCCTAAACCCTGAACCCCAACCAAAGCCCATGTATGTTAATCTATGCATGAGCCGCTCTTTCTACATGCTCAGGGCTTTTGGAGTCGTTGGGCCTTTTGGGGGCCCCCCTTTAGACGTTTAGGGTCTTTGCGTTTTAGGGTCGGGACCAGGCTCAGAGGTGTATCTCTTAACCACACCTCCAACTGATGACCGGACCTTCCACGATGATACTCCTTCTCGGAAGGAGCACCTCAACTATTCCAAGAGCGGCCGAAGTACCAAAACACCAGGACTACGAACAAACAATGGTGGTCGGGTACAGGCTGTTAGGAATCCCTAAAACCTAAACCCCTAAACCCTAAATCCTAAACTTGGGAAGTTGTGGTTCAGAAGTTAGGGGCGAGGGCTGCGGCTGCTCTCTGGTGCAAGGTTTGGGTTTGGGGATTTAGGGACGTTTAGGACTTTGGGATGGTGGGCTTGGGGTTGAAGCTGTAGCATCCAAGATTTAACAACCCTAAACTCTATGCTCAAAATATCCCAACCCTAGGATGCCTTTACCTCTGGGAACCCCAGTTTTTACCTGGGTAGTTGTCAAAATTATGGTCCCTTTTGGGGTACCCTAAATAATAGGTGCCGTATTATAACAAGGACCCAAAAAGGGACCATAATTTGGACAACCACCCACCTGAACCTTCCAGAAAAAGATCTCTTCCTGGATCCTCCAACGGGCTTTAGGGGGTTTTAGGGCTTAGGGCGTAGAGGGCTCAAACCTTCGAGCCGTTCCTGCGCCTAAAGCCCTCCGTTCGAACACGGGCCCCGAAAAGGACATAAGCACAATAAGCACTTTTTGCAAGGATCTATCCCTACCTTATTGGGCTTCACTATAAGTGGGTGTATGTGGGATATCCCTATCCTATTTTTTTGCTTATTTGAGGGCCCGATCTAAGACCCTTAGAATATCCCCACAAAGCCCTCTGAGAATGTACCTTTGGCACCTCGAACCCCATAAAATCCTTTAAATGTTAAACAACATCTTTAGACAGCCCTTAATGAACCTCTATGAAAACCCACCAAAACAAGCATTCACTCAAAAACCCTGTTAATAAAGGCGCCTTAATAATTGGAATAGGGTTTTGGGGCCCGCTATGCTATAATTATGCGAAGGCGGCCCAAAAATGGTATTGGTACTTGTTTAGGCCCC